AGTAACAAGGGCATTACTTCTAGTAACAAGGTTCGCTACTAGGAACATAGAAGCTTCCTTTGGAGTCGTTTCCCTGGGAATCGTTTCACCTGTAGTAACAAGGGCGATGTAATTTCCCTTTGATTGTGATTAAGTCCCAGGCATATGAATAGGGCAAAGCCAGAAGAAGACTATCTGGTGGATTCGAATGAATTCATGTAAATTGATATGGATTCCAAGTTCCCTTAGTTCCCTTGATCGCTACTAGGGGCTCCTGGCATCGCTACTAGGAGCATGGCCGCTACTAGGGGCTCCTGGCCTTACTACTCGGAGCAAGGACGCTACTAGGAGCAAAGGGCATCGCTACACATTGCATGGCTCCCTGCAGTTCCCTTCTGCAGATCTCCCGCGCGAACGGCGAGCCCTTGACGGCTCTGGCGGGTGGCACCATGCTCCGGTCCACTTGGTCCACTTGGTCCACTTCCTCCAGCTGTTTGCTGAGTGCTGGTCTCTCGAGGGCTAGCGTTTTGGCTGAAGTCAAAGAGAGGTGTTCTGGCCATTCTTACTAGTAGCGTTCTTGCTCCTAGTAGTAAGGCCAGGAGCTCCTAGTAGCTTCTTGTTCCAAGTAGCGATGCCCTTTGTTACTAGTAGCCTCTTCCAAAGAGTTTAGGCATTGAGTTGGGTCATAGCACTTTGGAGTTTATTGGCATATATTGACATTATTGGTGTTTGTGAAAGTCGTGAGAAGATGTTGCTGACGCCTCGTAGATCCGTGTAGGCCTCCGTTCTACCATGGTTGACAGCGCTAGTCAACCCTCAGGTCTGTCCAAGCTGCATCCAGAAAATATTCTGAAATCCATTTTGGTGGAATATCAGACCAATTTGAGGAGCAGCCAAGACTTAAAGGCTTACTATGGCCAACTAGAAGGGTTTTAGTTGCCAGCAGCGTGTCCCGCAGCATGTACCACCTAGACATAGTTATAGAGTATTAGAATACTCTTGATCCTGATTGGCAACAAGCAATCAGTACACCAAGACCACAGTTCATGTCTTGAGCAATTTCACAGTTCATGCCACAGTTCATAGCTTCTAGCTACTAGTAGTGATGGCCTCCAACCTAATAGCGATGGCCTCCACCTAGTAGCTTCTTGTTACTAGTAGCTTCTAGGATGCTACTGCCAGCCCTAAGAGATAGAAGGGCCCTTTCACAGTCAACAGCTGAGGCTCCTGCCCTGCTTTGTCTTCCAAAAGCTCCGAGGCGGATGAAGGTGAGGAAGCCGACGCTGAGCACTGCTTGAACAACAGAAGAAACACGAAGAAACAAACTGTACGACCAAGCTGCACTGGATGATCAGGGTAATCAGTGAAGATATTGGATTCTGCATTTTCTACACGTGCCTCGCTCCAAATTTAGAAACCTTATAACTCATGAGGGTTATACAAGATCACTGCCGTTCGTGTTGGGTTGGAGATGAAAGAAGGCGTGCTACAACAACTCTAGCAAAAGCTTGTTGATTGTTGAAGCACTTCCGAAATGACCCCTGGCTGGGGTCACAACTGATGTCACTTCTTCCCCACTTGTATACTACTGCTCCTTGCCTGCTTGGCTGACGTCCACTGCTTCATGCTTCAACACTCCGCCGGTCGCCAGGTGCCGCTCCCCGCTTGTTGCTTTGGACCTCCACCGGAGACCTGCTTCGATGCTCGGTGGAGACGGAGTCAGCAGCGGCCCTCGAAGGAAGTCGTTTGCCGGCTGGGCCTCTCAGTGAGAACTTGAGGTGAAAATCGAAGAGTTTGACGAGTCTGGCTGTTAATATCGCAGCCCCTGATAGTAAGCTGATTTGCAACTAAAAGACTTGTGTAGGCAGACAGGGTAAACCAGTGCATTCAGCAGCTTTTGGATGGTTTTTGACTGACCTTGACCTGCACCGACGAGTCCACACCACAAGCATGGCAACTTGAAAGACTGCAATCTTGTAATTACTGGCAATGTGTTCACAAATCTGGGATGAGACTGGGAGTTGAAAGCAATCCACGTTAATTAGGCTAGTTATTTTTGTTGCAACACGTGGAGGCAAAATCCAAGACACTCGCTTTGCCGACTCTGGCGTTGCCGTGTCTTGAGTCCAAGCGAAAGCTGCGAAGTTCAACGATATCACAGTGACTTACAATATGGGTGGTGACAGACTGAGCCATTCTGCACAAACACCCACACAAAACAACTCCGTGACATGGTTCTTGTTTGTCATCCCGTGTTTGTAAACAGATCCAGGCTTTGGAGAGGTTCAAAAGCACAGGCGGCAAAACATCTGAACCACTCGTAGTAACAAGGGCATCGCTACTAGGAACAAGTGCCTTACTAGTAGTAACAAGGTTCGCTACTAGGGGCTCCTGGCATCGCTTCTAGTAACAAGAAGCTAGTAGGAAGTCATGTTGGTGGGTTGGCTCACATCCACCCTTCCAAGTGCCAAGCAGCACTGCTGGGCGACGGCGATGTACGTGCCATGCCACTTTGGTGGGTGCAGGATCCCTGTGGAAGGAACTATGCCGCTCGGCAGGAGTTTAAGGCGGATGCTCAGGTTATGTGAACAGGACAAGGTACAAAAGGCGGACAAGGTGAAAGGCAGGTTTTGGTTTTAAAGCCCGAGTCCCTGCCTCCTTGCTTACTGAAGTGGGCACCTACTTAATAAAGTAAGGGACAAACTTGTTCGCTCCTAGCTACTTAAGCTACTACCTAATACTACCTACTGGACGCAGGACGCTCGCACTATTGAGTTGTTTCCTAGATTTTTTGGGAAACTTAACAACCATATCGAAGCCTCATAGCTTGCCATAGCTTGTCCATGTCTCTGGAAAACTCAACAATTATGAACAACCATGAAACCTCAAGCGGAGCAAGGACGCTACTAGGGGCTGCCGGCATCGCTACTGGGAGCAAGGACGCTATTAGGGGCTCCTGGCCTTACTACTAGGAACAAGAAGCTACTAGTAACAAGTGCATCACCATGACAAACCTCATTTGCACCCAATCTCCGTTGATGCCTCATTTGCACCCAATCTCAATCTGAGGTTATCATTGCCCAGGCAAGGAGTCCGACCAGCGGGGTAGAGGTTGACAAAGGCCAATAGAGGTCGATTGATTTAAACATAGATCTTTTCTCCTTGGTTGGACCTTTATTTGTTTAGATTTCTTTATTCTTTGCATCACGCATTAGCATATGGCACATCCGGACCAGGTGCTCTTGGCCTCTTCTGGACTCTTTGGCGCCACGCAAGCGCACTGCCTCTCCACTGCGCAAAGCGCTCGAAGTTGGGCCTCAGAAAGCATCTCCTCTTGGTGGTTGGGTCTTCATGAGGCCTGGGCCGCAAGCTGTTCCGAACATTGGGATTGGCGGTCGCAGTGAAATCTAGAAATGCTTGCTAACATGTAGTATGTCGGTTAACCTGCTACTAGGAGCAAAGGGCATCGCTACTGGGAGCAGGATGCTACTAGTAGCTCCTGGCCATACTACTAGCAACAAGAAGCTACCAGTAACAAGGGCATCGCTACTAGGAACAAGTGCCTTACTAGTAGTAACAAGAAGCTAGTAGTAACAAGTGCCACGCTTCTAGTAACAAGGGCATCGCTACTAGTAACAAGTGCCTTACTAGTAGTAACAAGAAGCTAGTAGTAACAAGTGCCACGCTTCTAGTAACAAGGGCATCGCTACTAGTAATAACAATTCTAATTAAATTCTTATTGTTACTAGTAGTAAGGCACTTGTTTCTAATAGCTTTTTGTTACTACTAGTAAGGCACTTGTTACTAGTAGCGTGGCACTTGTTCCTAGTAGCAAACATTCCTCTCGACAGGTCACCTACGTCATGGCCGCCTGGGCACACTTGGCATGTGCTCTCTCAGACCCGGGCGCCGTGCCGCTCGGCGCGCTGGAGGTCTTGGCACCGGAGGCGAAACGGGTTTGCATATAGTTTTTGAGCCTTTTTGGATGCCAGCTTTTGCATAGCTTTCAGGAACTTTCTTAGGGGACTTCTGTCGAAAAGGACATCTATGAAGCACAGCGGCTTAGGGCATTTGTTTCATGCGTTTCATGTCGTCCAAGTTTACTACTAGGAGCAAGGATGCTACTAGGGGCTCCTGGCCTCACTACTAGGAACAAGAAGCTATTAGAAACAATAAGCTAGTAGTAACAAGTGCCACGCTAGTAGTAACAGGTGCCTTACTACTAGTAACAAGTTTAAGCACCACTGGACAGTTTGCTTCCAGGGCACTTCCAACGAGAGTGCGACCGTACGTTGGTGTGGGCACTGCCAGGCCGAGGAGACTTTTCAGAAACTCTTCATTGAGTCAGAAGTTTGGTGATCAATCAGTTTGGTACTAGAAGCGATGCACTTGTTACTAGTAGCTTATTGTTTCTAATAGCTTCTTGTTACTACTAGTAAGGCACTTGTTACTAGAAGCGATGCACTTGTTACTAACTCACACCAAGCAGATCTCAGACGAAGGATGCTGTTGGATGCTGTTGGGCCCAGATCTTCAGACGACCGCATTGAGGTGGCGAAGCCGCCGAGGGCGCATCATTGCAGTACCTGCCAGCGCTGCATCCGGAAGATGGATCACCACTGCATGTGGATGAACAACTGTGCCTTTCTGCAACTAATTTGCCCCATGGTGGCTAGCGCTATGTAGGCCACTAGAGAATTCACAAGATGCACATGTTTGTCCTTCTTAAGGGTGAGAAGGGTGAGAACAGCAACTCTAGCATCCAGTTTGAGAGTGGTTGGAAGTTGCATCAGAGGAGCACATCGAAAGAAATAGATAGGTATTCACCGGCTTTACATTTGGGTTGCAACCAATCAACCATCATGTTACTTTTTCTGCATTATGTTCTTTTCTGTTCCTCAAAGTGAGGCATTGGCGGAAATAACCAAAAGCACTTTATCCTCTTCCTCAGCTACACCAGCTTGCATTGCCTCGGTGTGGTGCCAGTGTCTTCTTGGTTGCAAAAAAGGCAGTGTGACTGTGGAACCACAAGAGGCAAGTCGTTCGTTCGTTCATATCTCCTTTGGTAGAGTACAATAGGGCGGATAGGGAATCAGAACCGAAAGCTGCACATGGCTCCAAAAGTATTTTGTTGCCTTTGCTTTGGCTTCCAAGGAGCCTTTGGTGCCTCTTTGCTTTGCATCCACCACCTGGTGAAGAAATCCCACTCTATGCTGCAGTGACATGCATGCAGAAGCACACTGAAGTGCCCTTAGAAAGCAGGAGATGGTCTCACCTAGTCTCTTTCAGAGGTTCTTTGTATTTTGAGCCATGAGTGTTAACAAGAAGCCAGTAGGTTGGAGGCCATCGCTACTAGGGTGGAGGCCATCGCTACGAGTAGCAAGAAGCTCCTGCTAGAAAGAGAGCCAAAAAGATCCGCCCAGATGAGTGTGGCACAAAAGGACACCGCTACTAGGAGGGGGGGAGCCCCTAGTAGCTTTAATGTTCCTAGTAGTAAGGGCAGGAGCCCGTTCGTAGCGTGCTTGCTCCATTCGTAGCGATGCCCTTTGCTCCGTTCGTAGCGTCCACCGCTGAAGCTTCAGAGATCCAGAGTGAGGTGTCCTTTGGATCGGTGCTTTCGCTGCTACTGGCGGGCTGCCTGGGCCGTTACTGCCTGCAGCTGCTGAAGGATCAGTTTCATTCCTTGAAGAAGAACCAGACTTTCATTGAGCAATTGCAAGGCAGGCTGTTGGATCATGACACAAGACAGCTCGTTCTGTTGCTTGCTTTTCCTGCTTCTGCCGCAACAGCTGTGTGGATGCAAGGATGCTAGGGTCGTTCATGTACAAGGAGATAGAACCACTACAGTTTGCCCTGTCTCACCTCCATCAGCGTTAGGATTGCATCCCAGGAAGTTTCATCCAGAGATCTTCTTCAAGGCTCTTAAAAACTGCTGGTAATTACAGTCAAGTTCAATGGACAAGCTTTGTGGCTCCCGTATTGTCACGGGTACAGGTAGAAATGGCTCCTTTTTCCAATGGGCAAGATCCTGCACTACCGAAGAAGCTCCAGCATGGATCATGTGCAACCAGTGGGGGATCCCCGCAAACAAAAGTTGTTGGCATGTTAGATTCTTCGAATTGTAAACTGGAGGTGATAGCCTAGATAGCCTTGTTGTAACCAGTTCTGTAACCCTGGCGAATCGTATGGATCCAGATGGCCACTGTCGGATCGTTCCAGCGAGGCACGATGGGTGAGACACGAGCTCTTCGAGCTACGGTTCAGGAGAACCTAGGGATCGTTCCGTGAGCGGCACGAGTGGTGAAGGAACTCTTCTTAGACCCTTCGTTTGGAAGTAAAACGTTGGTAATTACACAGGTTCAGTTAGTGCTGATAAGAGGTAAGAAAAAGGGAGCTTGATGTTTGAATTTGTTTAAAGGAGAAAGGTTTTTGAGATAAGAGAAGATGGTTAGGTTTGAGGCTTTTGAGCCTGCCCGGAATTGATCAACATTTGCCGTGTCCACTTAGGTTCTGAAACAGACTAAGTCAGGTGTCGTGGCCGCCAAGGTTCGGAAGCCGCCCAGGTAGGGGGTCTTTTCTGTATAGGAAAGGAGGAACAGGATGGTTCTCCTCCCAACAGATATGGTTTTTCATCCGCGCCTGCCAAACATGCTGATTCGGGGTTCAGAAGTGTTTGGCACACGCACTGTCAGGAGTGGTGGCTTCGAGATTGGCCCTTTTTGGATTTGTTGCTTGTATAACAGCCTTCAAAATATTCATCCACACCCCTCCATGCCGTGCATGGAACCTGTACCCGAAGATGTTCTGATCAGAATTCCTTTTGCTCCCGACCAATGGACCTCAATGCGGTCAGCTCCACCCAGGAGGTCATGGGCTGCGCTCCTTCGTGGCGCTGGCTTCTCCCGCTCCCCGTGCCACGCGCCGAGAGCGCTGCATGAGAACAATGGAGAAAAGGGTGCGAGCAGAGCCAGGCAAAGCGCAGCCAGTCGTAGTCTTCTCTTGACGTGACCAAAAATACTTTTTTCTGTTTTTTTTCCTTTAGCCTGTCATAACCTTTCATAGCCTTTCCCTTCCCAAGTTTTCCCTGACTCAGATTGGGAGTACAGATCCTTCTTCTCCGATTTTACCGAATCTACTGAACCTGTTCTTTGTTTGTTCTTCATAGCAAATCTGTGCTTTCCTTCGACAGAAATTTGTCACCGCTCTTTCCCGGTGACCGTCATTGAGTTATGCATTTCACGCGCCTTTTCTTCGTTGTGTAGGTTTGGATTTCACACATCGCCTCCAAGGCCAAGGCCAACTTGTTGCACGCTTGGCAGCGTGATGGAGTCTTCTATGGCATCTCTGCAAAGGGCGGAGCCCGATCACTCAGAAAACAAGGGAACTTTTGGAGCGGACATGTTTGTCGGAATATGCAAGTTGACTTCAATAAATTCACCCAATTCCCTTGACGTTACAAAGAAGAAGCTACTAGTAGCTCCTCGCATTGCTACTGGGGGCTCCGGGCCGGGCATCGCTACTAGGAGCAAGGACGCTACTAGGAGGAATGTTCTCTGGCCTCTTAGACTCCGAAAAGACTGCGTGACTCTGCTACAGACGCAGCTTGCAGCTAGGCCTTGCAGCTGTGCACCTCAGCACAATTGAATTCCTGGAGGACGGGATGCTAAAACGGTTGCTGGCGGTAGATGGCTAGAACGATGGCCATCGCACATGACGAGTAAATGAGAAGAACTATAAGCTTCTTGCTCCTAGTAGCGACGCCCTTGTTACTAGTAGCTAAGAATGTTCCTAGTAATGCCAGGAGCTACTAGTAACAAAGAAGCTACTAGTAACAAGTGCATCGCTACTAGTAACAAGTGCCTTTCTAGTAGTAACAAGAAGCTATTAGAAACAAGTGCATCCCTCAACTGACGTCCACTTTGCAGAGCCTGGTCCGAGTCCTTTGGCCGCCAGGGCAGTGGAGCTCGGAAACCTTTGCTCGACCTTGGGCCCCAGACGTTTGACCTTGAGTGCGTTGGTCCGGTAGCCCAGGTTGTTAAGGTGCTTGGAGGGTTAGGTGTGGATGTGCCATCCATCCGCATCACCTAACATCCCACACCTAACATCCTGTTGCAGCAACCACCTTCATCCACCATTGTTTTGAAGGCTATGACCATGACCTTCCCTCAAGGCTCTGTGAGTTCGATGTTCTCGCCACGAAAGGTCTCTGGCGGGTCTTCGGGGGCGTTTTGGATCATCGCCATCGGGAGCGAGGCGAGGTCCATTGAGGTCGGTTGAGATCGATTGGTCATTAATGCAGTGAAAGGATGATGAAGTGAAGTGTTCAAGGAGTATCGAATTTCATTATGCCGCACTGTCATACTATCTCTCATATTTAAGGACTTAAGGGCGCTGTGCAACCCTCGCTGCAATTCTCTGTGGCAGGTCTTCACTCTTCCCTTACTTCTTGGACAAGGTGGGAAAACCATGGAAAACCATGCCAGGCCCTTTTCTTTCGATTTTGCATTTGGACAGGCAGAAACCATGCTCCTCTGGTGTGTCTATTGAATAGTTGTGAAAAAAGCTGAGACCATCACTTCTAGCTGGATGAAGCACATTCACAGCTTGTCGAACACGTGGGCCTTCGCTGTGATCTCCAAGTGATGGTGTGTACAAAACCGAAACAAACCTTCGAGTACTCAAGCAAACATCAGACATGTGGGGTTGATGATGAAGAATCTGGACGAATAGGAAGGCAAAGATCGGAGATTGTCTGAGATACTTCGAGATGTGGAGAAGGGTGGACTGTTGTATTTATATAAATGAAACAACTGCACGTTCGATGCAAAAGAAACTATATTGGCAGTTTCTGCCGTTTGACAATTCTCGACCTGATCTGCAGCGCTTGCAGGCGATGCAACCTTTCAAGAGGTGAGGTATGGGCCCAGTTGGTGCGGCATTCAGAATCCACCTCCATGCACCTCCGAAGGTGCCAGAAGCTGAAAGCTCTTGACCCAGTGGCCCTCGTCAGAAATCTCACACCATTTGGAATAGTTGCAGCAAGTATTCCTGTTCTGGTTACTAGAGCCGAATCAACCCCGACAAGTCATCATCCCATGCCTGGAATGACCCTTTGGAGAATTCTCCCGCAGCGACAGGCCAAACTTCTTTTGCCTGATGGCTTTGGAGATGCCCGTTGTGCGCCTGGGGGCCTGACGAGACCAGGACAGAGTGGAGACGGACTGCGTTGGTCATGAAGAGCTTCTGCAGGTCATCAACATGCTTCTATCCCTGTGGGCCCACGCGGCAATGTTCGCTACTAGGAGCAAAGGGCATCGCTACTAGGAGCAAGGACGCTACTAGGGGCTCCTGGCCTTACTACTAGGAACAAGAAGCTACTAGAAAACTGGAGCAAACTGACTTCCTCTTGTGCCTGCCGGTGCTCCGGTGCCCATTGTGTTTCCCAGGCGGGGCCTCGGCACGAGCAGCTCACCTTTGGTGGCCTTGGGCAGCTCCCAGGGCCACGTCGCATGGCACCGTCCTCATTGCTATTAGGTTCCTTTTGCTATTAGGTTGAAGGTTATATGTTTCTTAGTTTCGCACGGAGTGTTTGACCTGCCTCCCGTGTCTGAAGCCAGGTGGAGCGTGGCCGACTGGAGGCTTCTGGGGAGGCCAGGTGAGTTCAACCAAGAGGATGTGTGTCATGACCGAATGGTTCAACCTTGGACACTTGTGATGAATATACTATAATACTATACTATTACAAGATATAGTAGACTATAGTAGTGCTTCACCAGCTCCTTTTCCTTTCTGCGTCTTTTTCAGAAAGTTTGTGTGGATATCTACGGCAGGATCCCTCCGGTGGATGCGGCCGGTGTTTTGCACTTGACTCGAGCTTGGTGCTTGGCACGATCTCAGGATAATAGCTTCTTGTTACTACTAGTAAGGCCCTTTGCTCCTAGTAGCGATGCACTTGTTCCTAGTAGCGATGCACTTGTTCCTAATAGCGAACATGATACCCAATGCTTTGGCTCAACTTGGAATGTTGTTTCTTCATGTTCGTTTCAGACGCCAGCATCACTGCTCAGTTGTTGTGAATTTGTCTATTAGCCAACCGGTCTCGCAAAGGTCTGGACCCGGCCCGGTGTGGATGACCCATTGACGCCAGAGGTTGGTGTCTTGGACCTCACAACCCACAAGCTCCCTCTTTTGTGCAACATATCTGTTTCGAAGAGAGCCCTTTCCACATATGTTTTTTTCTTTGTTCGAAAGAGATGATGTCTTTGAGCGTCAAGCTCTTTATCATTGCTCGGTGTCAGATTTCAGAAGCTGCTGCTCCTTGGCGAGCGGAGCGAGGCCTTCATGGTGGCTGTTCTGGACGAGTTGGGGAAGTGTCGCTTGTTGGACCTCTCCAAGGGTGAGGCAGGGATCTGGTAGTTTGCGGAACCAGTCGGGAGGACAGGAGCAAGGATGCTACTAGTAGCTCCTGGCCTTACTACTAGGAACAAGAAGCTACTAGGAGCAGGGGCATCGCTAGTAGTAACGCATTACTACTAGTAGCTAGAAGCCATTGTTTGGATCTCATTGTTTGCCATAGATGGATCCCAAGAGATCCAAACAATGAGATTCCCGTTTTGTTTCTGTGGTGGATTAGGTGGAGAAGGGGCACCGGCACCCTCTTGCACAAACACTCCGACAAATAAGTTACAGGAGTGCACTCGCTTAGAACCTTACTTGCCACCCATTTTGTCGTAGAAAATCACTTTGCAACCCTCAAGAGTGATGTCAAGTGTTTGAAGAGCTTTGGGAAGAAGGTGTGAACATTTTCCTCAATGGACTCAAGAATACCAGAAGCACGCAAGTCCCGAGGTTCTTTGCAAGATACACGGGCAAAGCGGCTTGAGCTTCTGGGACCAGCCTGGAGCTCAGCCGAAAGGGCGACACGGGACAGATGGAACCTGAAAGTGGCGGTCCGACCGTGCTCCATTGAGACAGGCCAGCTACTAGTAGCGTCCTTGCTCCGTTCATAGCGATGCCCAAGGCCTTTCCTCTTCATCTCCGACTCTTGGGGAGCTTGGGTATCTGTTGCAACACGAGATAAGGCAGGGAAGGAGCTGGAGTCCGAGAGTCGAGAATGTTAAATACAGTCAGTGACAATAGGCTTCCGTAGTGGCTTCCGTTGTATAATTCTCGGTCAAGTTGGTGGGGGTTGAATGCTTTGTCACCAGACAGATGGAACTGGAAAGGAGAGGATTCTATGCTGTCAGGCAGGCCTCAGAATTTTGTCAGGCTGAACCGACAATATAATGACAGCATAGGGGGCTGAACGCACCTGTAAGCCGCGCGTTTACATTCTTCCTTTGCGACATGTCCAGGTTTGGACTTGGGATACCACCACAGGTGCTTTCGCTCATAGCCGAAAGCCATCAGGCGGACTGAGTCAGCAAGTGCGTTCAACGCGCCCTTTGCTGAACATGAAACTCTGGGATGACCGGACATGTTGCACGTGCTTCAATTGCTTCCATGCAGGTCACCAGATGTTGCCACTGATGGCATGGTTTATAGCCTATGCTACAACACCTCAAGGAACCGTGGAACATCTCTTTAGAGTACACTTGATGAGAGATTGTCTATCGACAGCAGACAACAGGATCTGGGGAGCCGCCCACCCCATGGTGGACTTAGAGTTCTGTACAGCATTGCTGGATTCCAATGAAACAATGGACCACAACACATGGTCGCAAGGTCAGAGCCTCCCCTACTTTTGACATGGACTTTCTCTCCCTTAGGAGCAAGGACGCTACTAGTAGCTCCTGGCCTTACTACTAGGAGCAAGAAGCTACTAGGAGCAAAGGGCATCGCTACGAACGGAGCAAGTTACTATCATCTCAGTTCCTGGGATGCGTACTGAAGTGGCTCAACACATTGTCTTCCAAAGCGCGCTGGTTTGTAGGCCATGAAGAGCGGATGAGGCTGGACAAAGAATGACAAAGGTTCAATCACGCTTTTCCGGAAAGCAGTTGAAGCTCCACAAGATGTTGTGACATGTTTTGACATCCGGATTTTGTGATGTGTCAGAGCCTGTGTCCTGCTTGCAATCTACCAGGAAGGCCAGCATCAATGAGGTTTGCTGGCAGGCCACTCTGGGCAAGTAAAAACATGTCCCGCAGAGTGAATCTCTCTTTTTTTGAGGTTCTTTCGGTATTTGGTCTGCTGTGGGCATTTCAATTGCTCAATCTCACAGGTGCCACAGAGCAAGGGATGGGAGATATGACACAAGGTGTCCTCTTCATTGGTTGATGTAAGACAGGGGTGTGATCCTACGACCAATGTGGCACACTAGAAGAGCCGTTCCTGGAAGGCAGCTGATGGTAGCGCCGTTTGGCAGATGGGCGAGGTTCAGCTGCAGCAAGAACATTGGGTTTGACTCAAACTCCATGGTCCAACGCGGTAGTAGCGTCCTTGCTCCTAGTAGCGATGCCCTTTGCTCCTAGTAGCTTCTTTCTCCTAGTAGTAAGGCCAGGAGCCCCTAGTAGCGTCATTGCTCCTAGTAGCGGAAAAAGCTCTGAATTACAAACTGACGTTTCGTTGTGGTTTGCGTGAACACGCCCAAAGACATGGAAGCTGAGCAGCGGTTGCTTGAAGATGGCGGCGTCATGTTGGATTTCACTGCGACTGAATTGATCCCCTGGTCCATCATGCCTCAGGTGATCTTGGATGGCCGTTGGAAGCTCCCGGTGCTGCTATGCACACCACAACTTTTGAGGCCATTCCTGGCCAGTCCTGGGCAGTACTTTGCATCGATGTTTTTCCAGCTTGATGGCCTCCACCCTAGTAGCGATGGCCTCCAACCTACTTGGAATATTTTTGAGGTTTCAGAAAGACGGACATCTCATGACATCTCCAAAACTCCAAAAGCAGATGTCTGGGAGATGTCATCGACTCGGGATCTGCCGAAGGCGAGATGCTCCTCGTGAGGGTGCGCGCCAGCTATGGGACCCTGGTTTTTGCAAGCCGCACGGGAAGCCGCACGCTGAGCAAGCACGCAATCATTTTTGCATGAAACTTCCGTTTATGTTGCGAAAAACAGCTCAACAGGCTCATAGTTTGCCGAATATTGGATTCTAAGAGGAAGGCAAGCATATTCTAGTTCGTCAACCAGTCGATTCTTCACTGTTCCTCAGCTCCCTTCCATCCAAAAGACCGAACATTGGAGGATGTGACAACATCCATATCTTTGGATGTTCAAATTTAACAGTCAGACTGTCTATAAGGACAGTCAGCTGCAAGTTTTGCTCTTAAGCATCCAACGAGATCTCGCGTGGCCATGCCTTGAGAAGTGCCGCATGCCGCCGATTTCCAAGCCCGATATGGGCAGCATCAAGCTCAAGCCGGATGAGCCGGACCGATTGACTCGAGAACGACCCGAGAACGCTCGGTGTGTTTGGTGACTTTAAGAGCTACAACAATGCATGCCATTTCCTGATTCTGCCTTTAAAATCCTTTAAAGGTCTAAAGGCAAGGCCCAGGCACTGAAAACAAGGCCATCGCTATTAGGAACAATAAAGCGTTTTTGGTCTTTGAAGCTTCTTAGTAATAAAGTTGCTTGCTTTCGCCATCCGAAGATTGGCGCCATCAGCGTGTCGAGACCTGTCCAGGAGCGGCCGCCCATCGACTTTGATCGTATCGAAGGGGAGAAGTTGGTGGAGAAGTCGCTCTTTAAGCTGCGAGCCTTGTCCCCTTTCATTGAGGTGAAGATGTCAAACATATTCAAAAGTAGAGGATTTGAAGAATCTAGTCACTACATGTCACCACACTGTCACTGCAGTGTCACTACAGTCACTAGATGGACTTGATGGAAGAGTCGAAGACAACATATTGTGCTAAGATCACCACCCCTCAACTGCTGTAGCCAATGGGGGGGTCATCCTCTGTACTGTATATTTTCTTTTACTTCGGCCCCCCGCCTCTCATTTGTAAGAAATCTAAGTTGGATCTCAGGGTTTGTGCGGTCAACATCGTATTTTTTGGTCGGGCGATCATGTGGTATAGCAGACCTTGTAAAAGCATGTAAAAGCCAGGAATGGCTAGAGCTTGGGGTTCTCTTGACGTTAACATCTAGACATCATAACTAGAAGGTCCATGGACCATTTGTTGACTGAAAATAGTGGGCAAGATGTGTGTATTAGCTTCCAAAAAATTTAGTCAGGTAGGACTGACCTTGACCTTCATGACAGGTTCGTCATGTCACCTTGCCTCTCGAATGTATCAAGTCTTTCAGGACATGCCACAGAACCTATGATCAGGCACGCCGAAGCTCCTTGTGATTTGGAAAGTGCTAAGTGGACCTAAATGAACTTGCTGTTAGGTTGAAGGGCCGCTTCTAGGAGCAAAGGCATTGCTACTAGGGGCAAGAACGCTACTAGTAGCTCCTGGCCTTACTCCTAGGAACAAGAAGCTACTAGGAGCAAAGGGCATTGCTACTGGGAACAAGGACGCTGCTAGGGGCTAGGGGCTCCTGGCCTTACTACTAGGAACAAGGACGCTAGTAGGTTGAAGGCCATTGCTTCTATAGGTTGGAGCTTCGCCTTTGAGAGTTTGTTCCAGGTCGTTGAAGCTGGAGGATACTGAGCCAAAAGTCTGGAAGACTGAGCAGTTGATGCTGGGGAGCTCACCACACTGCGAGTTCACGAAAATGATGAAAGAACTCGTAGGCACATTGTTATAAGCTTCCATGGCACACACTTGGAGATTTGTACGTTTTCCTTTCAGAGGATCTTTGAGACTGTAGAGCGATGCCTCTATACTGCTTTTGTTGGTTTTTCCTTCTGCTGAAGTCACACGCATTCCACCCAAGGTCCTCAGTGGTGGCGAAGAGCGGCTTCGCCAGCTTTAAGCTCACTGAAGGGAAGCTGCTGGGATCAAACATCACAGACCGCTGGTGGGTCCAAAGTCACAGATCACGACAGATGAATGATCCAAATCTCATTTGGATTTCATTTGAGATCATTGGACACATCTTGACAAAACTTCGGGAGTCTTTCGAGGGGTAGGTGAGTCTTCCACGACCGAAGTCCGCTTGCAGTGCTTCCTTCAGTGAGTCATGTTTGGATGCTTAGCCGGCTTAGCCTGAACATATCCTGCTATTAGGTTGGAGGCCATCACTATTGGGTTGGAGGCCATTGCATGTTGGGCTGCCCTCTATTAAATGCACTGTGAATCTCAGGCTGCCCTCCATTAAAGACAAGCTTGCCCGTGGTGCTGGCCAAGAGTTGGATCGGAGTGTGTGTGTGTGTGTGAACTGAATTTTCGATCCATTTGGAATCCTTTCGATCAACATGGTGACCTTGCAGAGGAGAAGGGGACTGAAATGGTCATTTGATTTCAATTGGCTATGGCTATGGCGCCCTCCCTAATTCAAGCGGATGAGACTCGGATGAGTGTCCTTCATGTCGATTTTAGACGTCATTTTGCCGAAAACCGTGGTGTAAGGCCATCCCAGAAGCTGGTCTACAAACAAAATTGTGGTTCAACATGGTTCAACTCATTTCCTTTGAAAGAATGTTAATAGCAATGGCTACTGATGGCCTCCAACCTAGTTGGAGATGGAGTGATGTTGATCACTTCCGATTTGTTTCGATTTTTCGCAGGCTAAGTCTCCCAAACTTGACACAAATTTGTCCAAAACCGACACGAAGGAGCCAAATGGTGACTGTAGGTGTTGTGAACTGACCTCGACCCATCGTGGCACATGCGATGTGCTCTCTGTGCGCCAGGTCGGGGGAGCCAAAGCGCGACATCCTTGACGTCCTTGCCATCACCTGGGCAATCGCCCACAGGCCGAGGGCCAAGCACGGCCTGCCAGTGAGTGTGCTAGAGTATACGAGGCCGCTCCGGGTTCCCTCCATCAAGCCCCTGTCGATTGGAAAGACTCTAGACTCTAGTAGGCCTTTGTTTCCGTCAGTGTTTCCTCAGCTGATTGTCATGAAGGAATGATGCCATTTCTGCTCGACTCGAGGTAAGGGTCGATGTGATTTCAAGAGAGGTATACCACCCAACCACCTGACAATCGGCCCTCTTCCCACGCATGTGATGCAATGTTCAGGCCTGGCAGACTCACAGTCGATGACCGGCTCCGACTTTAGCAACTTGAGCTGCATGCTTCGTTTTCCTCGAAACAGCGGGGCATGCCGGGCATGACACCTGAGTGAAAACCCTGATAGCTTTGTCACACATTCACACAGCACGCCAAAAGAAAGCACACATTCAACTATTCAGCATAATCTAACTTCTAACAGATGGAAAAAACGAAGTAGGAACAAGTGCCACGCTAGTAGTAACAGGTGCCTTACTAGTAGTAACAAAAAGCTATTAGAATTAAATTTACGACTGTGCCACCTGCGGCTTTGAACGGTCGTTTCCCCGAGGAAACCGCCGGAACTTCAAGGACTTGGCGCGGGGCATGGATGCCGACGGGAACCGGCTGAAGCGGGCGGAGCAGTACTACCAGCTGCTCATGAGGCATGACGAGCTCCGTGTGCAAATTTGGAAGAAATGAAGAAAAAGCTCCTAGTAGCGTTCTTGTTACTAGTAGCAAGGCCAGGAGTCCCTAGTAGCGTCCTTTGCTCCTAGTTGCGTATAGTTCAGACTGAAGAAAAGATGCGTATACATATATATTTTACTTTCTTTTTTAATTGACTTGTAGATTGGAGCAGCCATTTCTAGGGGAGTTCGTGATTTTCTCTGCATGAAGTGCAGGCGGTGGGTAGAAAACATGAGTCAGTTTTTCGTTCAGTGTAGTTGTGCTGAAATATTACGAGCACACCGAGATGAACCTTTGATCGTCATGTCTCAGGGCCAAGTACAAGAAAGATGATGCCGACCGCAAGGCCGCTGAGGCACTGGTGTGACCAGTTGACTGTTGATGTCAGTGGTGAGTGAAATGCAATGAAGGTTACATGAAGATGCGGTGTTGAGGGCCTTGTCACCTCTTTCACTCAGTGCGTCAATGGCCTTGAGTCGCTTGAGTCTTGGCCTTGACTATGCCTTTCCATCAGTATATGTTTCTTTCTGTGTCTAGTTATTGTTCATTGGAGCTTTAGTCCTTTCATGTCCCCTCTATTTTCCGTTACCTTCTTGCCAGCGATGCGTTCTTCCTTTCCTACTAGCAAGCGTACTTAAAAATGCTTCGAATGCTTTTAAGGAGTGAGTTGCGTTTAGAACGGGACCAAAGGGATGAACACCGACCATCCAAGCGGACTACCGCCCTTCAGAGTAGGTTGGAGGCCATGGCTATCCGAGTGTGTAAAAAAGGAGTCTGACCTGGCCAGGCCGAGGAGCTTCAACGCGCAGAGGGGGCAGCGAAGGTCGCCTTCCGGAAGCTCTTGGGCATGATGGGAGAGACAGATAAACGCTCCGTGCCTTGGCAAAAACCTTAGTATCGTCCTTGCTCCTAGTAGTATGGCCAGGAGCCCCTAGTAGCGTTCTTGTTCCTAGTAGCGATGCCAGGAGCCCCTAGTAGCGTCCTTTGCTCCTAGTAGCGATGCCAGGAGCCCCTAGTAGCGTTCTTCTTCGTAGTAGCGA